GGACCGACGCACTGCTTGTCAAGCCATGCTGTGGCTGTGTCCCATATAAAGTAGAGGAAGATGGGCACAGATGTTAGCCCAGGGCCAGCCTTCCTCAGCAAAGAGAGGAGGATAAGCATCGAATGTTAACTAATCTTCCTCACCAAAAAAAAAAAAAAGTGAGTCACTGAGCTAGTGAGTAAGCCTAGCTGAACTCAGCCATACCTCCATGTGGTTGGGCCATCCTCCTGATCATATTCACAGAGAAGTCAGTTCATCTGGAAGACACTGTCAAATGGCTGTCCTCTGACTTGATATTTCTGCATGACCTCATTTAATCCTCAAACTACTCTAAGGAATAGATACTACTGTTATTCCCATGTGTGCAAATTAAGATACTAAGGAAAGTTAAGTGACTTGTCCAAGATCACATACTGTAAGTGATGGAGCCAAGATTAGGGCCACATCTGTCTGACCCCAGAGGCTGAGCTCTCAACATCAGCAATCCTGCCACTCAGCTGTTTCTGAAGTAAGTTCGGCTAATGTCACTTCAGAAATAATGTCATGTACTATAGTACAGGGTTTGAATAAATTATTTTAATGGCTTAATAATTACATTAGTCTTGAGTTTATAGGCCTCACAGAGGGTCTGGACTACATTTTTTAGTTAGTGTTTAAGACACTGGATTCTGAAATGAGACTGCCCAGGTTACCAGCCAGGTGACCTTGGGCAGATGACTTAACCTTCCTGTACCTCAGCTTCCTCAACCATAAAATGGAGATAACAATAGTATCTGCTTCGTGGGGTTACTGTGAGGATTAAATGAAACAATCCATGTAAAGCTGATAGTAGGCACTCAAAGTGTTAGTTGTTATTATTAGAACTATATGGCTTTCTACAGGGAAAATTATTTGCTCTGGTGTTATGAGAATTCGAGGATCTACGAAGGTCTTAGGATGTATCTTTGCACTCTACCTGAGCTTATTCACTTCCATCGCTTTTCTTTAATTTATTATCTTTATTTAACCAGTGCTTGAACTGCCTCTAGTAGTGTAATAACTTTAATTTAGAATTCTAGGTGAAATTCTTATAAAAAGTTTTAGAAAAGAGATATAGATATAAACATATATATATGTTTATGTGTCATATATATCTTATATAGATTAAATGAGATTTATATATATCTTATATAGAGTAAAATGAGATGATTTGTGACAGAAAGCCAAGTGATTATAACCAGAGTTTGTCTAAAGATCCAGTTCTATGCAGGAGGCTATTACAATGTCTCAGAGAATTTAAACTTGACTTTGGTGAGGATACGTCTCATGTGATGAAGCACCCTGCACTTTCCAAATATCTTGAAGAAAGTGAATGCTGCAAACCTTTGTCTTTATGGCATCTTATTTGAGAACAGGGCAAATTATCAAACAGATGTTCTCATAAACCCAAATTCAGAATGTTACTGGGCCCTGAGAATCCCTTCCTTTAAGACAGGGAGAAGTTGGGCCGGCCCGGTGGCTTAGCGGTTAAGTGTGCGCGCTCCGCTACTGGCGGCCCGGGTTCGGACCCCGGGTGCGCACCGACACACCGCTTCTACGGCCATGCTGAGGCCACGTCCCACATACAGCAACTAGAAGGATGTACAACTATGACGTACAACTAACTACTGGGGGGCTTTGGGGAAAAAAAGGAGGAGGATTGGCAATAGATGTTAGCTCAGAGCCGGTCTTCCTCAGCAAAAAAAAGAGGAGGATTAGCACGGATGTTAGCTTAGGGCTGATCTCCCTCACAAAAAAAAAAAAAAAAAAAAAGACAGGGAGAAGTTGGCCACGTTTTAAATCCCTAATCCCTATGCATCATCAGCTCATAAACTAAGCTGAATTAAGAAGTGGCAGCAATAAACATGGTGACATGGCAAATATATCAGCAGGCTTTATCAGAAACTGTATATTTATGAGAAAAGTAGCAGTTTAGCTCCCAAATAAAGCAAAACAATCGAAATGTTCATAAATGTCAACCTAAGCCAAACAATCTGAAATTTGGCTAGATTAGGAAGCTGTTATAATTAACCATATTACTCCTCCAGCCCACAGATAAAGATCACTGCAAATTTTGAGAGGGTCTGCACTTAGGCCAATTTGCACAGATCCAAAAGTTAATATGAACAGTCTGCCTTGTAACAATCACAACCTTCTCACTCCCCATTCCCTATACCCCAAAATATTCTTAAGTAGGCAAGGTCTTTCAGCTTTTAATCAAAACAAATGATTCTTTAAGGAAAGAGCTACACTATGAGTTTTCATATAGACCAATGTTTATAACTGGTATTTTCAGTTTATTTTTAGCTTTTTCAATGATTTTCTCAAATAAGCAATGTCATTAAATTGGATTTGCCAATGTCCATGGGACTTTGTTAGTCATGTTGTATTTCATGTAAGATTTGCCAAAGAGCTGCCTTATGATGCTCCAAGAAAATCAACAGATTCATCCTTCCGTTATTAAGGCAATAGTCATTGTATTATTATTAAGGCAGTAGAAATTTTTAAAGAAACTCCTCTATTTTAAGAAAATGTATTGATTACCCTCAGCTTTGGATCTTCTTTTTCCTTTATACTTAGGTGAAACCAGACTATGAAATAGAAAGGGATTAAGGGTAGAGATAAACACAGACAATGTACTTTTATAATATTTTTCTTATTCAAAAATAAAATGATCGCAAGAAAAAAGAAGTGGAAAATGGTATTAGTCCCATGGTATCTGGTACTTCCATACCAGCATACATGTTTGTTGAGCTGAGTTAGCCAAATATTAGAAACCCAAATGTCAAGGAGAAGTGGGTAGACTGAGCTCTGATATACATAGACAATTTCCATTTTCCTAAATATGACTATTTGAACATTATTATGAGATCAGATCATAAATGCTGTATCTGTTTTACAGGAAATGAATAGAAATATTGCATGCATAGTAGTAGACATTCAGTAAATACCAGTGGAATTGAATTAATAATAATATTCAAAAGCTCAGTCTTAGCCAGGTAAAAACTCAGTACAAATAAAACTGGGAATTTCCATGATTATTACTGTTGAATATATTTTTAAAAGGGGCTTAGGTTCTCCCTTTAAAAACTGCTGTAAAAACACTAAGAATAACATGAAGATTTATACACTGCATATGCCTTATTCAAGACATCCGCAAAGAAAGACCACAAAACAATAGCATCAATGAGAAGAATATGAACTCTTTGCATTAGGGAATGATGTCAAGAGATTTAAATCAGGTAAAAAGAGAGAGAATTTTAATGAAAATAAAAATATATTCACAATAAAAAATGACATCAAATGAGGCTGCTTTCTGTTTTCAATCTGCTAATTTTCTACAATGTTCTGCATCATTTACAGACTATAGAAATCAGACAAGCACATTCAATTTGTAGGTTCTTCACAGCAGATGCAAAGTGATGGCAATTATCCACAACTGCTTATGTGATGATGACTGAATGATCAAGATTCCTCATTACAATAATATGCCACACTTATTGGAGTAGCTGATTAAAGTAACGGTTCACTCTGCTCACGTCTCTTGCTGTTTCTTTCACAAAGTGGATGAGTTTACAAAGTCCCAGACAATGTTTTTACCTGAGCGGTGCCATCTCTCATGCGTGTACCCTTTAGGATGAAATAAACGTGTACCTAGAGGTACCCATTGCCACTCATGGTTGGCTGGCAAAGATCTACTGAAGGTGCATTGAGTCAACATCAGCAATCAAGTATATATACAATGCTCCTTGATGTTTATCACCTGGCTAGACAGTTATGAAATGTGGACTGAGTTATTCTAGGGAGAAAGAAAAAAACATCTAACCCAGCTGTTTAATTTCTTCTTCTTCATCCTTCAAGTCTCAGAACTGGTGCCCTCTCCTTCAAGAAGTATACGTCTTCCCCCAGTTTGGGTCAGGAACCCCTCCTTTGTTCCCCACAGCACTGTATGTTTCCCTCATACAATCCAAGCGCTTATCATTTTGTCTCCTTCAATAGACATGAGAGTTTCCTGGGGAAAAGGAATTTGACTTTTTTTTTAATCATAATATTCAAAAGAACCCATACAAGGCCAGGTTCATATTAGCAACTTAGGAAATGTTTACTGAGTTGATAAACAGATCAAGCTAGGAAATCATATTCTTCCCCCTTCTTTTATGAGTGGAGAAAGTACAGGCCTTGCATGTGCTCATGCATTCATTCACTGAGTTTCAATGATATAGTAGACACTGTGCAAAATGCTAGAGATACTATAATACAGAAGTAAGTTTAAAAATTACAGTGCAATTTGATAAACATTGCTAAAAATAAAAATACTAAAGAGTCAATGAAAGTGGAAAGATATTGTACAATCTATCAGAGAAGGCTTTCCAGGAGGTAACATTTGAGTTGGGTTGTGAAAGATAAACAAACATGGGCGAGAGGGAGACAGACTTCTAAGCAAAGGGTCACAAGAAAACATGGTATGTTCAAGAAATGAAAAGGAGAGGGACCAGATTGTGACAGAAGCCAAAGTTGGCAAGACAGGTTAGAAGTAGCTTATGCTGCAACAAGCAATCTGGAAGCTGGGCTTTATCTTCAGTGGAATGGGAACCAATGAAGCCTTTTAGGCAGAGGAGCAATGTGATCAGATCTAGTTAGACGCAAGATTCTGCAATTAGCGTGGAAGAAAATGGATACATTCAATAAGGTTTGAGAAACTAGGGACAAGGACACTGGAGACTCAGGTTGAGAACAGTGACCTAAATGGCCATTAGCTAAATCAAATGCAAGAAGACATAAAATTAAATAAGATAAACATTCCCTTTTCCTGGGATGCTTACACTCTACTTCTCTGGTAGAGGTTGTCAACTCCTTGGGAAAATAAACTGCGTTCTTTTCTGAAGTCTAGTCTTTAAATTACAACATTCTTATTGTATTATAGTCACAATAATTTAGTAAGAGTAAACAAATAATGTTGCAAACTGAAGGACTTTCCATACCTGAGACACTTTGCCTGTTGGAATCCGAGTCTCCATTACTGGAGTTAGAATTGTTGGAGGAGTTGTTGTCAACCCCTCCCAGAAGGGGGCGCAAGTGGCTTACTGAGACTTGCTCAATGAATGACGTTCCATACTTGCGAAAATACCACCATTCAAATATCTAGAACAGAAAAATAACAACCGTGATTATGGTTCTTGTTACTGTTTATGATGTTTGTACACATGCCCAAAAAACATGTTGCATTTACTAATTATATCCACCTTAAATACTTAATTAAACAAATTTTTTATTCCAAAAAATTTAATTTATTCTAAAAATTAAAGAGTTTAATAAAATTAAAATACCAATTACATTTTAAATTCTTTAATGTTGTTTTCTCCACTTAATACTGGTTTTCAAGAAAAATCTATAATTACAATCATGGATACAAAAACACTATTAGGAGCTGCTCAATATTATTTTCCTCCAAATTTCCTTCATATTCTAATAACAAAATCACCATAGCTGAAAGACCAGAAGTGTATATAAATAAGCCAGTATTAGAATTATGGCTTATAAAATATTGAAATTCTTGGCATTTTACATTCTGATAAATCCACAGCTGCATAAAATTTTTAAGACATCAAAATTCCATTAAGAAAAAAAAAATAACCATCTCCTTAGAGAAATGCTGGTTTTACAGAAAGAGTGAAAGGCATTCCATTTCATGTATGGATGGCACTCAACTGCTGAGATACTCAGCAATGCCCCACCTACTAAGAAGTGCTTTATAAACACAAGCATCTGTTATACACCATTAATGTTTCCTAGGTCACAAGCTTACCAATTGTTACATACTGTGGATTGCAAAGGAGAAAAGAAATAACTTTCATTAATACAAGGAAAAAAGCAATGATGCTCACATGACTATACTGAAATCAGGACTTCCTAAAACACTAGGAAAGCAAGCGATCTCCCTCAATCCTTCTTACTTGGCCCCCTCTGCCCCTTCAGTGAACGCTTTCTCACCACTATTCGATGTTGCTCTCTCCCACATCCTTGCCTCTCCCCCCTGTCTGATTTGGGATTTGTTCCTTAAACAGTCACAAATCATTACACAGAAGAAATTTAAGAATCAACTATATCCCAGAGTCTCATAGAATAACTATACTATATTCTTCTAATATAGAATGTGGAACTAACATAGAATTATCTTTATCCTTATTTCATAAAAACGAGACTTCGTTATCTACTCTGGAATGGATTTGGGGCTATTATTTAAAAATTGATGTTTTCTCTCTTTTGCTCTACCAAAAATTTCTAAAAAAGACAGAAAGAACATCTATGAATGACCAGAAGGAAGTATCAATCAAACCAAATGTTTCCAATTCTATAATAGGACAACTTGGTTTAATTCCAACGAGTTACCTCTGACTATATGAATTTTCACATGTTAAGACATTCAAGTAATTTCACTGGGCAGACAGCAGAGAATATAATATAGCTATGAAGGGACAGGATTAGTCTATAACATTTGGAATGCTAGGAATAAAAGTTCTTACTTGAAGAAGAAAGACAGTTCAAAATGGTAAATTTATGAACCATGGATCCAGAAGGGAATTTGTAACGTAGGTAAGTTATTTAATCTATTTGAACATCAGTTTCTTCAACTGTAAAGTGGAAATCATATGTATTATTTATCCTCTAGGGTCCTCAATTTTCACAACCATGTAAAACATTTAGTTTCAAACCCCATGTAAAAGATCTAGTTCAGTGCCTGCTGCATAGTTGGTTCTCAAAAATAATAGCAAAGCTATCATTTATTACATTGATGACGTACACACCTCCCATGGGCAGCACACCCCACATATCATGCACCCCTCTTTTTGCCAGTCTACAATTCAGGCTAGTACAGCACCTTGTCTGTTACTGTTGTTGGCTGAAAGCCTTGGAAATCATTGTGAAAAAGGGCACCGCTCACCACTCAGTCCTCACCACCCAACAAAGCCCTCAAGAGATTCGTGGCTTTCCCTTTATTAGAAGACAAGGAAGGCTCCAAAAGACCCAGAACATTGGTCACAGAACTGGCAACGGCTCTCAGTCACTTGTTGGGGAGAGCTCTCTTTGCATCAAGTCTTTTTGCTCTGCTTTCTGTATTGTGCTGCTTGGGCACCTGCCAGGTCTTAGTTCACTCATTCAGTCACACAGCACTAAGGGCTCCACATCAGGCATGAGCTGTGCTGCAGGGTTACAGAGCACAGATGTGGCCCCTGCCACCACCAATCCACGCCACAGACACACTATGCCTTTCACAGGTTGCTCCTGGCATGGTCTATACCCATCACAAAAAACACCTTGGGACTCTTCAGAATTCCCAGTTCCTCCAACATTATCACAGAATGTCAGCACTAAAAGGGACCTTAAAAAACCATGCACTGTCTCCATTTAGAGATGAGGAATGAGGACTGACCAAAGTCATACAGCTAATTAAGTAGTCGCTTAGCCTGAAGCACAAGCTTTGTGCCACTAATCTTACTAGGGCCCTATAACAAGACATCTTTTTATAACTTTCTTGTTCACTTAAACAAATATGGACAGATGTGGCATATCATTTCCCTTTTCAGATCTTCACTTCCCAATGCCCCCAACTCCACTGTGTCTCTGTGCTTTCTTAGCTATCAAAACCAACCCAGAAGTAGCCTATCAAATGGGACCAGATAATTCATCCTAAGGTATAAATGACTCATATTAATGGAATATTTGCATTATAGTAGACGAGTGATTTTCCACCTAGTATTTCTAATTCTGGTATAACAGACCTCAGTAAAGACTGGGTTATTCATGCAGCTGTCTTGGGGGGGGGGGGGGGGAAGGAGGGTCTTCTCAGACCTGTCTTATCACAGCAGTAGATGACTTCTCACCAATCATGGTCCTTCTTTATACTAGTGTCCCCTGTACCCTGGAGCAGAGGCTCCAATATATACTGAATGAACAACCAGTAAAAGGAAGTAGAAAAGGACTTGAAGCCTTCTTAAACTTCAAAACAAGTCTTCTAATTTGGGGTCTTAGCATAACAATCTGCCCCTTATCCCGAAACATGACAGGCTTTGGGCCAGCACCTCACAGTATTTTTAAAGAGCTGCACAGATCCAAATGGGCAGATGGTGTTATCTAACACGCACATGTTTGGTGTCACTTTGAATTCTTCTCCCTGGTGCATAACCTACAATGTAAACAGCAAAGCTCTCATAAACAAATTTAGATTTTAAAATTAGTCCTTGGACATGCTAGTAGCTTAGCAGACTTGCCACAGTGGAACAAAACAGCTTTTAATCTGACAAATAACAATAAAATTAAAATATAAATTTATGCATTTCATAGTCTTGAAAACATAATCTCTCTAGTACTTTTTTCCTACTCATGCTCCACCCCAAAGATTATACAGATCAAATAAGATGAGAACTAAAAAGCATCAATTGGGCTTGGCATTTAGGAAGTCAATAGTGACCCTATCATCTAGCTGAAAGGTAAAAACCCTAATACACTTCATGATAGGTGAGTTGTGTGACCTTGGTTGGCATTCTTTAGTCTCTGGGGCTCAGTTATCTAATGTGTAAAATAAGGTCACAGTAAACCGCACTCAGTTCATGATGGATGGATGGATGGGTAGATGGGTGGACGGGTGGATGAGTGGATGGGTGAGTGGACAGATGATTAGAAGACTGGATGGATGTTTGGAAGACTGAATGGATAAATGATAAGGACTGGGCTGGTGATTTAATTGGATATACTCTAAATAAACAGCAGAACCAATGAAAGGTTTTGTGTTCATTTTGTTTGTTATAATAAAGAGAGGTCTACACAGATTTGTGGAAGAGGAAAGAATCTAGTGGAAAGAGAGAAACTGAAGACACAAAAGAGTACAAATGGCCAAGAGACATGATGCCAAGAAACCAGGAAGCACATCCACACTCCCTTGAAAAGGTAACCTACCATTTCTTGCTCTGAGACAGGAAGAAAGGTCGAATGAACAGAAAAATACATTCTACTTTGGAGAGTCGGGTGTGCTATGAGCTGTTTCACAGGTAAGAAGGCAACAAAGAGATAATGAGGCACAGGTAAGAAGGCAACATAAATGGGTGTCACTGAACTTGGTGGAGATGCAGGTAAGGATTACCTTCTGTGAATAAGGGAAGTGGGGATGGAATTGGGAATGTGAAGGTGGAAGAAGTGGTTTGGATCTACATCTTGCAGGACAGAAGGGCCATAAGCTATACTCAGGATTCAGATCATATTTAAAACAAAGACCCATTTGTCAAGGACCCAGTTACCAAAGCCTTGTGACCTCCTCCATTACTATATGACAGAAGTGGAGGGGATGATCAAGGAGCACTCAGGCTGGGAGCTGGGGGTGGAGATTCAGGTTTGCAGCTGGCCTAAGGTGCAAACTTGTCTCATCTTCACCGGCAGGGAAGGAACCAAAATCTGGCAAAGGGATAACAAATAAGGCCCTTCCATCTATCTTGCAGACCTGAAAGCTGAATCTTTCCTGAAGATGCCTAGATTCTTCCTATCCAATAAGACCTCCTCTTCTGGAACTGCATGTTCTATATTAGAACTTCTCTTCGTGAATCAGGGACTTCCCTATAGCCTATATCACACTAAAAAATACTACAAGGTTCCCATATAGCAGCACCTCAGTAATTCCACATCACTAAACCCATGGGAAATACAAAAGATGTCACAGCCTGAAATTGGCTAAGTGCTTCCTAAGGATTAAAGCAGACGATGATATCACAGGAGGATAGATACAGTGATAGTAGAGATCGAAGAGGAAATATGAAACTCTGGCAGTCTACTTCTAAATAGAAAGTCTGCCACATTGACACCTGCTGTAAGTCTTCAGAAATATATCTGATGGTAAACAGTTTTTTGGCAAGAGGAGATCTTCTGGGCTTAAAGGAGATAAACCAAGGCAGTTGGCGTGGGTTATCATAATATCCACAACCTTTTTAGTTTCCTGTTAGAATTCTCAAGTATATCCTTTTCTCCATATTCACTGACCCTTTCAAAGACCCTCCCAATTACTCATAACAGACTTCGTTTTTGACTCTTGGCCCCCATATGTTTTGTTTAGGAATACTGAAGAGCTATGGAGCGGGTCTTGGCCTCCTGCTTCC